ACAGGCAGGACTCAGCTGGTATCCCAGACATGCAGGACTGAGGTAATTCACAAGTTTGTTATCAGCCATACTCAGGCTAATGCAGCGGTAAGGGACTTTTCAGCTGAATTTGTGCAAATGTCTTATGGCTTTCTTATAAATCTGTGATTTTCTCGCCTGTATGGATGTATGTAATTTGTCCATTGAGTTCTTTCTGGTTGAGGCCTTTGATCAAACCAGTGCCCACTGGTGCTGGGCCAACCTTTGACTGACAGTCCACGCTCACTTTGTGACCTCATTTCTGTGTTTGCACTGTACTGTGTTGTGCTTGTCTCTAGGAGAAAGAACAAGGATGTTTGTTGCAAAAATGGGCTGCCTACCTCTGTATGGCCCCTTATCCAGCGACAGCCTGTTTCTCACAGTGCCTTCTTACCAACAGTCCTCGACTGGGTCCCTGTTATACTGCTGTTATTGGTCTTTGACACACTTGATCATCTGGGCTTCTGCACCACCTGTGGCTCAAACATCCATATGGACTTGGACTGAAAAAGGAGAAGTAGAGAAAGAGATAGAGAAAGGGGAAAGCTATATAAGCAATCTCTGAATTTGGGGTTAATTTCTTTATAATCCCCCACATTTTAATATACAATCTCATTATGAAAATAAAAGGCAAAAAGGTTAACATCAGAAGGACAGTCACAGGGTGCAACATTTCATTAAGAACTTCAGTTGCTCTTGGTGACTATCCAAATATAATGTCCCAGCAATGATGTTCCCTGTCTTTTTTTGGTTGCTTCATCACCCTGTGGATTTTTCTACATCAGAATGAATGGTAATCAAAATTTTCTGTCCATTTTCTCCAGCTTTCTTCAACAGCATTTTTCACATCCAAGTGAAGTTCATTCAGTAGGAATAGGCTTCTGCTCATAAGTCAATGCATAATTAAATCATAACACTTGGTAAGATATAAGAGGAGCTAAATAACTGAAATCACATCCCATAATGTCAACAAAGTTACAAGCATAAATATTAGGGTACTTGTATGTACAATAATGTTGTCTACAAATACAAAATCACAAGGGATTCTCACACAAGCATATCCATTCCATCAGGCCCATACTCTGTGCTCTAGGGGCTAGAGTGCATCTCCATTGGGATTTAATCCTGACACAATGATGTGATATATGGTATATACTGAAGCACTACGTGCTGTTACAATGAAAACTGTGGCTTACGATTAGTGGGGTCATAAAGGAAAATTAATAGTTGCTACTATCATCTAGTTGCTAGGAGTGGAATTCCCTTTTGTATTATTCCAGGTTACCTTTTGAATGCCACCTTCCTTTGTAATTGCTGCCCTAGTAAATTGCACCCATAGGAGAGAAGTGGGTGTAGAGCAGAATGCATATGGTTACCATATTGATTAACATAAACAAAAGAAGCCAGGGTTTCAACCTGTGGGTTGAGCTTGTTGATGTGTCAATCAAATTTAATTCCTGCTGGCCATGATTGCTCCTACAAAAATGATAAGCAGTTCTTTGATAAGTAACTCAGTCTTCAGTGGGAAGTGCTGGCACAATTCCCAGTAATGTTCCTGGAAAGATAAAACAGGACAAGTCTCAGCAGAGCTGGCCTAGACAGGTTACCACTTAATTGCTCAAGGTGTATAACAGTTTGGAGTAATGACAAAAATACCTTTTTCCACTCGGAGTATGTCTGTTCTGTCTCTTTAAATACAGTTGAGTAGTAAAAATGTCTTTATTATAAATAACACACTTGGCATGGAAATTGGTGTAAATTATCTTCTACTGTAAAAACAGGGTAGTGCACTGTTGTTGGAGGTTAGGATTTTGCCTTTTTTTTTTTTTTCTTCTTCTTTCTACAAGGGAAATTTTCTCTTATTTGTTGCCTAAGACATGGAAACAATGATACTTGGGAGAGAAAAGATGCGCAGTTGGCTGCAGTCTCTTAGCTGGGGAGTGAGCTTGGTGGCTAGGGAGGTTTTCTCTTGGGAAGTGCAGAGACACTGTGGGACTTGGCTGGGGGCCAGGGACTGAGCTCAGCCCTCTCTTGCCTTCTCTCTTGGGGGATCGGAGGGGAGACAGTTGTGGTCTTTGTGCTGGACTGCTGCTGTGGGGAGAATTTGATGCCACTGCAGAGTTTTGTCCCTCACTGCTTCTCCTTACCATGTGTCAGCTTCTGCTTGCAAGAGCAGCTGTTGAACTGGGACGTTTCCTACACCCAATCTCACTGGGAGGAACCCTCACCATCTGCTTGGGCGACTTGGGGGAAGCCTGGGGACCCCAGTGTGGTCCCTCCCTCTGGAGGAAGCATTTCCTGGCTGTTTGCAGGAGCCTGGCTGCCGCTGCCATCCCCAGGACATCACATGGGAGACCTGAGAGCCAGGGGAAAACTCAAAACAACCCGCTCCCTCCACCTTCTCTCTCCTTTTGACACTGCCCAGCTCCGCTGTTTTCTGCTCCTGCTCTGGTGGTTTCTGCTACATTTTAATTCAACACCCCATCTCTGCCTGGACCCTTGCTGCTCTTGCCACGGCTTCAGGATTTTTTGCAACACTTTGTTTGCCTCCACAAGCCTGCTCACCTCTGTTGTTCCGGCTCGCCACTCCGAGGTTCCTGCTGCAGCACATTTCAGCACCCGTAGTGGCACTGAGACCGGCTGCTCCCCGTGAGTTTTGCAGATGCAGCCACCTCCCCTCTCCTCCAGCGCCTGAGCCGCCATCGCCTCATGAGGGAGACGAGCTCGTGCCACAGCGCCCCCTGCTGGAGCGGGGGAATCATCGCACCCGCCCTGCCCGGCCGGGAGCCAGCAGCGCCCCTGCTGGCTGTGCCCGGAACTGCACCACAGGGGAAAGTGCCTGCGGCCAGGAGAGGAGAGGCTGGGACATTTCCTATGCCTAGCTTCTCTTTGCTGCTGCTGCTGCTGTTGTTGTTTCTTTGCCTTGTTATATATATTCTAGTAAAGAGCTGCAGTTCCTTTTCCTATATCTTTATCTGACAGCCCCGTAATTTCAAAGTTATAATAATTTGGAGGGAAGGGTGTAATATTTCCATTCCATTAAGGTTCCTGCCTTCCTTGGCAGACACCTGTCTTTTAAATAAAGTATTTTAAATTGTCAGTATAGGGTAGAGTGAAAGAGAAGCAAGAGAGAGATATTAAATCAGAGAAAGAAAGGAAAACAGGTCACCAGTCCTGGCTCGAGCATTGATTCAGCTGATGGAGTATCCAGGCAGAACAAAGCCATTTGTCTCAGGAAAGTACTGTCCTCCACATGGCCCCCTCTCCACCCACATCCCATTTGTTCTCACAGCTTCTTAGTAAGAACCCTCAGGTGACTGCACAGCCATCAATCTGTGGGTTTGAGACATATAAGAGTCCCTTTTCTTCTGTGCTCCTACACCAGTGCTCAGTGAGATGGTGTCTGTGCCATGAACTCTGGCAGGAAGAGTATGGGAGGAATCAAACAAGCTCCATGGGGACACTGTGTGCCTGAGCTGTTATTTTGAGCCCTGCTGTTAGGAGTTTCTGAAGATGCTCTGAGAAAAAAAAGGATGTGGCTGGAGAAGGGGCCATACAGAGGTAGGACAGCACTTTCCTGGAATAACTAACCTTGCTGTAGTTCCTGAAAAGATGACAGCAAACATGGGACAATACAAGGAGACGAATGAGGTCACAATGTGCACATGGACTGTAAGGGGGGGATCAAGGTCACCAAAGACCCCTGAAGCTTGTGACCCATTTCCAAAAAAGTCTGAATGAACAGACTGTATGAGCACTCATTTGCATAGAAAGCAAGAAACCTATATTTGGGGCAGACAAACCTATTCATGAAAAGGTCTGGGCACTGGCCTCAGGACCTTGGACATCCAATGGACTGGACTAGCACAGGTTGATGGATGCTGAAGCCAAGACTGACAGCTCATCCACTGGATTGATCCAGGACTTTTTTTTCTCTCAGGTTCTCTCTCTTTATCTCTTTCTTTCCCTATATTTCTTTCTGTCTTTCTCTCATTAATTAATCTCCCCCTCTTTAATTTCTCACTTCTCTTTCACCAAGCTGCTTAATCCAAATCCCACTGCCATGTCCTTATATCGTAGGTCTGGGATTACTATAGCACATCAAGATCCACACTAAGTGTGTAATTTACTAATAAAACTTTTTTTTTTTTTTTAATGCGGACTCTCTGACTTCTGCTCTTCCTTTTAACTGTGAGCATTTATGAACTTTGAGTGTTTTCTACACCTTAAGGGTGGGACCCCACAGCCTGTGTAACTTGATTGGCAGATACTGATCCCATCTTCTGCATCACCTCAGCCCTGCATGTCTGGACAGCAGCTGGGTCCTGCCTGGTGCTAAAGGACTCTATGAGGTACCTGTCTCATCTGCCTTTGACCACATGTGCTGCTCATGGACCTTAGTATGGGTAATGCAGGGGAGGAGAAGGAAGAGATGAGGCTGTGGGCTGGTCCCAGACATTGCTGTTTCCCTTCCCCATTCCTGCCACCCTTTGGAGCCATCTTTTCCCTGTTTGCCATTGGCTGTGGAGTAGCCAGGGATGTTCTTCATCAGCTCCAATGGAAAAGGCAGAAAGGAAAATCCACTACAGGGACTCCCATGCTCTGCCCCTCCACCTTTCACCCTCAGCAGACTGGAAGACTTGCCACGGAAAGAAGGACGACTTAGAGGCCAAGGCTTGGATGCAAAACAACTTTAATGAATGTAAGGTAGAAACAGAGGTGGCTCACAGAAAGCACCAGGAGCAGCCACAAAGATGCAGTGAAGCTTGTGCAGGGTGTCCATCTGCCTGCCCAAAAGAGGGAGGGAAGGCAACAGGTCCCCCTAGGCTGGCCTGGGGAGACATGGAGAGCAAAGGAAAGACAAAAAAAAGTAGAAGGGAACAATGGCTCAGACACTAAATACCATGTCTTAAAGCTCTATCTCCAGCCCAGAGCCAGCTGCTGAGGTCTTGGAAGTTCCTGCATAAAGACTTTAGGCAGCTTTAGCAGGGGTGGCACCTGCTGCCACCAAAGCGGCTGGTGATGCAAGAGAGGTCAAAGCCCCCAGAGTTGATGGGCACTCCCTGAGAGCTGAGGATGCTGCCAACAGCAGCAGAGGTGGAGGATCCCACGGCAGTGTTCTGTGGGAAGGAGCTGAGGATGGGCCCAGGCAGGGTCACCACCACGGCCGGGGGCTGGATGGCCACGTGGGAGTCCTGGCACTGCCTGACACAGCACTCATTGCAGCTGTTGGCCAGCGGGGTGGGGCCACAGGGCTGGCAGCAAGGGTTGCAGGGCTGGCAGGACATGGTTCGGGGTCACAGGTGCACCTAGGATGGAAGGCAGGGAGAAGCACAAAGTGAGAACACATGAGAAGCAGCACTGCACCCAAACCCCCTGCAGCCAAGGCGCCTCCTGGCCCACATTGCACTGCCCAGCTCAAAGCCCAGGAGCCACCGCAGCCAAGTCCCAGCCTGTCTCTGTCTGCACAAGACCTTCTCTCCCCTGCCCTCTCCCAGCACAAGCAGCTCCCAGCCCTGTGCTCCAACAGCCCCTCTCAGCTGAGAGCTCCAGCCAGGCAACAGCTGCTCTTGAAGGAAGGAAGAGAAGAGGTTTCCCACTCACCTGATTCCAGAGGAGGAGAAGGTGAGAGAAGTGGATGAGAGAGCAGAGACTTGGGCTGCCTTTTATAGCCATCTTGCACTGCCTTAGGCCCAGAAGCACCTTAGTGGAAGTCATAATTTTCTGACCAGCTCATTTCAAATGCAAACTATCCCAGCTAATAATGGGGCTGTGTCCTGTTTTCCTGCACTGCTCCCTTTTCATTTCCTGGCTAATTCCGCGTGCTTTCCTATATGAAGATCTATTTCTGTAAGTGTCAAAATGACAGCATCAAGGATTTCCAAGGCAGAAAGACGTCAGCACAGGCAGAAGTCTCAGATTAATTGTTATTGGCATCCCCTGTGGGCAGGTGGTGTTTACCTCTGTCATTCCTGTGGTCTTGGTGGTGGCAAAGTTGTCAGAAATTGGGCACTGCTCTTGTATTCTTTCCCACGTGCCCAAGGACTCCGCTGTGAAGGCACATACTGCGTATCCACAACAGAGTTCTCAGCTAATGAGGTTTCCTGACCTTATTTGAATGTACAGTTCTTTGTTTGTTCCATGAAGACGTGTGAGCACACGTGTACTAGTCTAGGCTTGTAGTAAAATCCCTGGTCAAATTGGCACGAAGATATTCAGAAACACATGGTTAACAAGGCAGTCATTTTTTACAACCAGTGTGAGTTCATGAGAGGAAAGCCCTGCTTGTCAAACTTAATTTCCTTTCACAACAGGGTAACCACGTAGCTGATGAATGGTAGCCAACTGATGCAATCTTTTATGCAATTCTGTAAAGTTTTTGATACCTCTTCTCACAGGATCCTTTTGGATAAAATGTCGAGGACACAGCTGGATAAATACATTGTGTGATGGGTGAGCAACTGGCTCATGGGTCAGGCACAAAGGGTGACAGTGGAGGGGTCACACAGAGTGAGGAGGACCTGGAGATGATTTGAGTGCTGGCAACTGAGGCCAGTGCTTGGGTCTCACTAGGAGCAGATGAAGCCTTGTTTTCTGGACATAGGAAGAGCCAATTACTAACAGCTCTGAAGATCAACATGCTGCTGGCTAAGACTGGGCCAATGAGAGAGGTCGGTAATGCCTCTGTGATGACATATTTAAGAAGAAAATCAAAACAAAGTCACACAGTTTTTCTCCTCATAGGGAAGAGGAGGAGTTGAGAACATGTGAGGGAAACAACATGGCAACACCAAGGTCAGTGGAGAAGGAGGGGCAGGAGGTGCTGCAGGTACCAGAGCCAAGATTCCTCTGCAGGCTGTGGTGATGACCATGGTGAAGCAGCTGTGCCCCTGCAGCCATGGGGATCCACAGGGAATGCAGAGATCCACTCACAGCCTGTGGGGATCCACAGGGGATGGAGAGATCAGCCCACAGCCCATGGATGCATGGGGCATGCAGAGATCCACCCACAGCCCATGGGGATCCACAGGGAATGCAGAGATCCAGCCACACCCCACGGGGATCCACAGGGAATGCAGAGATCTACCCTCAGCCCATGGGGATCCACAGGGAATGCAGAGATCTACCCGCAGCCCATGGGGATCCACAGGGAATGCAGAGATCCACCCACAGCCCATGGGGATCAACAGGGAATGCAGAGATCCACCCACAGCCCATGGGGATCCCTGGGGAATGCAGAGATCCACCCACAGCCCATGGGGATCCACAGGGAATGCAGAGATCCACCCACAGCTCGTGGAGAAGGTGCCCTTGCTGGATGCCTGGAGGACGCTGTGATCCAGTGGGAGGCCTCGAAGAGAGAGGGGGTCCTGCTTCCAGGCTGGAGCAGTCTGTCCATGGAAAGTGCACCCCGTGGAAAGATAGGCCCATGTTGCAGCAGTTTTGGGAGGACTGTCTGCCCATGGGAGGGACTCCCATTGCAGCTGGTGCGGTAGGGCTGCTGCTTGTGAGAATGGACCCACACCAGAGAAGTTAGTGGAAAACTGTCTCTCTAGACTCCTCTTCAGGAGCAGCAGAAGAAAATCTTGGTGATGAACTCACCCAAAAACCCCCATGTCCTGTCTCCATTCACTGTTGGTGGGAAGGAGAGAGGGGCTGGCGGGGGGGAAAGGGTGTTTAAAGGGATTGTTTTGCTTTTCATTATCCTCCTCTGATTCTGGTAGTAATAAAGTCATTTTGCAATTTTAAGTTGAGCCTGTTTTGCCCTTGAGGTGTTTTCTCCTGGTTCTTATCTCACTCATAAATCCTTTGTTATATTTTTTTCCCCTCTCCACTGCCCAGCTGTAGCAGGGGAGGCTGAGCGAGTGACTTTTCTGAGTGTGTGGTGTTGGGCCAGTGTCAAACCACAGCACTTGCATAGCTTAAGCATGCTTGATACCAATTCCAACTTGTGAAATATCTGAGAACTGAATATAACAGCTGGGCCCTTTAGCCATCCATTAAAGGAGGTATGAGGTCGCTGCCTCCATATCTGTTGCTGTGTGCTGGCCATGTACACCAGGCAACAGAACAGAAGAAAAGGAAGAGATGAAGCTGTGGGCTGTTCCCAGGCACTGTTTTTTTCTATCCTCACTACCAGTACCTTTTGGATTGGTGGTCTAATTGCCATTGGCTGTAGAGTAGCAGGGGATTTCTTCATCAGCTCGAAGGGAAAAGGCACAAAGTAAAATTCACTGCAGGTACTCCCACCCTCTTCTTCCTCTATCTTTTTTCCTGAGCAGACTGGAACAGTTCCCACATGGAATATGATGGGCAGACACTAAGATGCAGTGGAGATCCTGCAGGTTGTCCATCAGCCTCTCCTGTGGAAGGAGGGAGGGCAACATGTCCTCACTAGCCTGGCCGGGGGAGATAAAGAAAGCAAAAGAAAGAGAAAAGTGGAAGAGGGAAATAGCAACCTAAAGCTCTGTCATGTGCCCAAACAATGGAGATCTTGTGCATGAAGGTGAGAAGCACAAAAGTGGTGCCCCTTTCCTGACAACTTTGCCATAAACAAATCTACAGGCATGAAACAGGCTCACATCACCTGCCCACAGGGGATGCTGCCAGCCCTTGATCTGTGCATTGTGCCTGTGCTAATGTCTTTTTGCCCTAAAGTTCTTGAACCTCTCATCTTGACACTTACAGAAGTTTGCATAAAAGAAAGCACGTGGAATGCACTAGGAAATGAAAAGGGAGCAGTGCAGGAAAACAGGACACAGCCCCATTATTAGCTGGGATAGTTTGCATTTGAAATGAGCTGGTCAGAAAATTATGACTTCCACTAAGGTGCCTCTGGGCCTGAGGCAGGGCAAGACTGCTATAAAAGGCAGCCCAAGTCTCTGCTCTCTCATCCACTTCTCTCACCTTCTCCTCCTCTGGAATCAGGTGAGTGGGAAACCTCTTCTCTTCCTTCCTTCAAGAGCAGCTGTTGCCTGGCTGGAGCTCTCAGCTGAGAGGGGCTGTTGGAGCACAGGGCTGGGAGCTGCTTGTGCTGGGAGAGGGCAGGGGAGAGAAGGTCTTGTGCAGACAGAGAGAGGCTGGGACTTGGCTGCGGTGGCTCCTGGACTTGAGCTGGGCAGTGCAATGTGGGCCAGGAGGTGCCGTGGCTGCAGGGGGTTTGGGTGCAGTGCTGCTTCTCATGTGTCCTCACATTCTGCTTCTCCCTGCCTTCCATCCTAGGTGCATCTGTGACCCCGAGCCATGTCCTGCCAGCCCTGCAACCCTTGCTGCCAGCCCTGTGGCCCCACCCCGCTGGCCAACAGCTGCAATGAGTGCTGTGTCAGGCAGTGCCAGGACTCCCACGTGGTCATCGAGCCCTCACCCGTGGTGGTGACCCTGCCTGGGCCCATCCTCAGCTCCTTCCCACAGAACACTGTGGTGGGATCCTCCACCTCTGCTGCTGTTGGCAGCATCCTCAGCTGTGATGGAGTGCCCATCAATTCTGGTGGCTTTGACCTCTCCTGCATCACCAGCCGCTTTGGTGGCAGCAGATGCCGTCCCTGCTAAATCGGCTGGCAACATCCTTGGGCAAGAACCTCCATGACCTCAGCACCTGTCCTGGTCAGGAGATAGAGCTTTGGGACATTCTAATTAGAATGTCAAGCCATTGTCCCATTCTCCTCTCTCCTTTTGCTCTTTCATTTGCTCTCCATGTCTCCTCAAGCCAGTCTAGTGGAGAGCTGTTGCCCTCCCCTCCCTCTGCAGGCCAAGCAGAGGGACACCCCCACGGCATCTTAGTGGCTGCTCCTGGTGCCCTCTCTGAGCCACTCTGAGTATTTTTTTCCTCTATACTCAATAAAGCTTTTTTGCATTCAAGTATGGGCCTCTGAGTCCTCCTTCATTCTGTAACAACTCATTCAGTCTGCTCAGGGAAAATAGCAGAAGAAAGAAAATGGTGAGATTCCCTGTAGATTTTCCTTTGTGCCTTTTCCCTTGAAGCTGACAAAGTCATCCATAGCTTCTCAGCAGCCAAAGGCTGAGACACTCCCTCCAAAGGGTGGCAGGAATGGGGAAGGGAAACAGCAATGTCTGGGACCAGCCCACAGCCTCATCTCTTCCTTCTCCGCCTCTTGCTTACCTGGTTGAGGCTCCATGGCATGCAAACAGAAGCACAGGCAGATAAGATGCACTCCCTCAGCACAGGCAGGCAAAGCTAATAACAGATAATGCAGGGCTGAGAAAATTCACAAGTTGGGATTCGTATCAGCCATACTCAGGGTATGCAGTGGTAAATGACTTTTGGTTGAGTTCTTGCAAATGACTTAATGCTTCACTAAAGGTTCACATTTCTTCCATTTATGGATGGATGTTATCTGAGCATCATCTTCCCTTTTGACCAAACCAGTGCCCAAGAGTATCAGGTAAAGGATGATGGACTTGGTGAACAAATGGTCTGCCAGAGACAGCCCACAGATCATGATGTCATAGAATGGTTTGGGTTAGAATGGATCATACAGAAAATCTAAGTCCACCCAGGTGCCAGAATCACAGGTGCTTTTATCTAGATCAGGACGTTCCCAGCCCCATAAGGGAGAGACTGGAAGAATTGCTGGCTTGAAGTATTTAATGTGATTTTGCGTGGAGGAAGGGGCAGCTTGGGCTCTGCCCTGGTGAGGCGATATCCTACTCCATGCACTCCATTGCCTCGACTTGTATCCCAGCCCTTCAGAGTCTAGCAATCCCTGGAAAACCAGAGGCAATGCTCCACACCCTACCCCTGCCACCCAAACTATCCCCAGAGTGCCAGATGGCTGGAAGTCCGACTAGGACACAGAAAAGTGAAAGGGTATTTAATCTTGTGAGACGCAAGACAAACACATATCTTGACCTTACTCTCACTGAAGCTGCAGGAAAAATACAAACCCTCCAACAACACTTTTAGTGCTAGAGAATGAAGATATTACTTTATTCTGGCCAGGATATTGTTCTGGCCAGGATGTGCAACAGAAATAATTTTGTAAAACAGCCTCGGTGTGCAGAGAAAATTATTCCATGACAAATGAATTTTACCAGATTTTTCACAAACTTCATACAGTCAAAACCCATAAAAATCCATTGGTTCAGTGATGATCAGTCCCAAGTTATGCAAGATGGCTGGAAATCCCACCAGGACCCAGAAAAGTCAAAGGATATTCAACCTGAGACACAAGGCAAGGACCTGTTCTTGGAATTTCTATAGGCTGAACACCATTGGAACCAGGAATAGTAGCTGTGTTTTTTACTTTCTATTCATTTTCTGTCTTTCTAGCTTTCTCCATTCTTCTAATAATTCACTTCTCAGAATTTTGAGTAACTTAAAATCAGATGGGTTTAGAGTCTGTTAAATTGATTAGATTTGAGAAGTGCTTTGTGTTGATTGGATGCTGCTTGAAACCTTTTGTCAAAGTTCTTTGCTTTTCTAAAATTGCCACTAAAGGGTTTCTTGGTTTTTGTGACCTCTTGAGAATATCTTCTTGGTGTTTCTCCTGTGTGTTTCATTCAGAGTACATGAAAAACCAAAACTCTTTTAAGTGTCACACTGAACGAGATTTTGGGGGACTTACATTTTAATTGGCACAGTGAGCAGGTGAGGTGATGAAGAGGTATTTTATACAGAGAGAACTGCTCTTTGCAAAAAAATGAGAAATTAATTTTTGCTCAAAACCGATACTCTCCAGCAAAACCATCATAGAATACTGGGTAAAAACCTGATCTGACCTGTTCTCCACTGTTACAAATAACTATGTAATTGCTGGCTTTTGCATTTATATATTGGCTTTTCCAAATTATTATTAATCACAAAGATTTCAATATACCACGATTTGTAACTGCTCTTAACTGCTTTAATATAGTACAATCTGTCAGGTTTTGTATGCAGTATGTAGCTTATATATAGCTTAGTCCTTTTGCAAAGTATTAAAACAGACTATGTGTTAATGTTAAATGCCTTTATTGATGTTAAGAGCTATGTTGATTCAATGTACTTTATCTGAGTGGAGTACTTTATCTGAATGATAACAGTGGAGTACCTTATCTGAATGATAACAGTGAAAAGAACCATGAGAATAAATACCAAGAGAAAAATGCAAGGAAAGATTTAATACTGTCCAAACAATGGAACAGAGCTTCGAGAAGAAATGAAATATATGAATTTCATCTACAGGATGGCATAAAGACGAGTCAAAAGTTGAGCCAAGCAAAAAAATTCCCGGAACATGTAAACCCACATGAATGTTTGAATATGTACAATCCCCATGAATATGCATTTAACCAATGTAATGAAAAAGTATGTAAGCAAATTGTTTTAAGCTAATGCCCTGCTCCTGGCAGTTTGCCAAGCACCTCAGCACTAGGTACTGTCCCTTTTCTCCCTTACTAAACTTAAAAAAATTTGAAAGAGTGAACCTTGTTTCTCACATCCACTGATAGAATTGCTAAAAGCTTATAAACATTGTCCAACTTCATAAAGAGGAATGTGGGCTAAGGAAAATTGGCAAAATTTGCAGTTAGTTGCAGAGAAAACTGGAACTTTGGCAAAAGATGGGGGAAACTCCAGCAAGGGAAAAGGCCTGGTATCCATTCCCCTAGAGGCTGAACTCAAAGAGAAATATGTTGTGGAGCAGCAACAGAAAGATCTGATTGAGTTGCAAATATCCTTAGGGGCTGAAACAATAGCCCACTTCAGGGCAGATTGAGAATGGAATGCCCAGAAGAAGCTAGCCCAAAACCTGAAAAACCAGTTAAACAAACTTGTCCAAAGCCGAAGAGCTTTAGAGTTGCAAATTAACGCTGTTGGGGAAGGTGTAGAGAATTAATTAGAGTTTTTCAGCCCTGAGGAAAAGGTGGACCTCAAACATGATGTCACAGTCCTCAGCCCTTGTGAGTTTAATGCAGCAAAACCAAACCCTCCCTGCACACTTAACTCCCGTCCACCTGTAAAAACTGAGGAGGCAGAGAGGGAATCAGAACTCCCTGAGCCTGTTATCACTTCACTCCACTCTCCAGACAAGGGGTTTGAGTCAGGAAATCCAACTCTCCTTCACTTCCTTTCACCATGCTCTGCCTGCTTGTAAAGACAAAATTCATTTATCAGGAGGCAGAGTACTCAGTAACTCAGTAATTCTGCAACAGAACTGGTTAAGTTACCAGGGAAACTTTGCAATTGTCCCAAAGAAAATGGAACAGAGATGGTTTTTTAAATTTCACTGATGGGGGTTTTCTTGGTTTGAGATAATTTAAAGAGTGGGCAATCTAAAATAAGTAATCTTAATTCCAATAAACCCCTTTCTACCAATAAAGAACAAAATATGAATATGTATAAATGAAAAAAGCCCAAACAGTTTACTAACGAACAGAACAGGCAAAAAATAGCTGTAAATTACTGCTAGATACAAAATTGCTGAACCTCAAAAAACCCCATGGGAACCAAAAGAAACATGAAATTCCAGAAATATCCTGCCCAAGGTGTCTGCATGGCTTGAGGGACAAGGGGAAGATGACATCACACCCTTTCCTTCCAAGATGACAGGGGACCATATGGTCCAGGGAAAAAAGGGACAAGATAATGGTAAGTCCTGCTGGGAAAGGCAAGAACCTGTAGAGCAGTTCTAGTGGCTGATGAAGACTTGCCAGCTTAGGTGGGGTCTGCGCTGCTGCTGCTTCCTCCTGCCATTCATGGGGCTCCCCCGATGCTGCTGCTGTCCTCTGAACTGTGCTTGTGGTGGAAGGGAAAGGACAGGTCTGTCCACAACAGCATAGGGTGGTCTGACCCCAGGAACTTGCTCGCTTTTTCGCTCCTGGCAAAGTTTTTGAAGTTAATTTCAAAAAAGTTTCTAATGCGAAATTCAGTCTTTAAAAGTGGCTACAGTTGTAAATCAAAAGTAACTACCTTCAAAGCCAAGATCCCACCTTTACCAACTGGTGAAGAAAAGGGAGAAGAAGGTGAAGAAAAGAAAAAGGTGCCATGAAAGAGAAAGAGTCTCTGTTTCCATATTCTTCTTTCCTGGAGTGGGGGCTAATCCATCTTGACCAGCTTGCTGGAGCATGGCTGCCTGCAGAGACTGGCAGCACCTGTGCAATTCACCTCCAGGTAGCTCAAAAGTGCTATCTGTAGTCTCTCTGAGACAAGGGAACAAAAACAAAAAGAGACCCCAAAAATGAAGAAGCCTTTCTCCAAGCAAGACCAAGAGCCCAGCCAGGCAGTAGCCCATGGGGTGTTTGGTTCACAGGAATGGGGACTGCGACTGCGTAGCCTGAATATGGCAGATATTGATATCACCTTGTGATTCACCTCAGCCTTGTATGTCTGGAAGGCAGCCAGGTGATGAAGAAGTGTATGGGTTGCATATTTCATCTGTCTTTGACCATCTGTGCTGACCTGTAGACCATATGATGGAGGGGAGGAGAAGGTAGAGGTGAGGTTGTGGGCTGTCCCCAGAACTTTGTTTCCCATCTCTATTGCTGCGACTGTTCAAAGCCAGGGTTTCCCTGAAGACCATTCTCTGTGGGGTAGACAGGGAAGATTTTGACAGCTCCAAAAGAAAAGGCAAGAAGTGAAGTTCACTGCAGGGAGTCACAAAACTTGTTTTCTCCAACTTTTTCCTTGCGTTGACCAGAAGAGTTCCCGTGGAAAGAAGGAGGTTTTGGAGGCCATGGCTTGGTTGCAAAACAACTTTATTAAGTCTAGAGAAGAAAAGGAGGTGCCTCACAAAGACCACTTGGAAGACCAATAAGATGCAGTAGAGTTCCTGCAGGTTGTCCATCTGCCCACTCTAAAGAGGGAGGAAGAGGAAGGGCAACAAGTTCTCCCATGTTGGTCTGGGGAGACACAGATAGCAAAAGAAAGAGAAGAAGAGGAGACAGGAGAAGAAGGGGACAGCAGCTTGAAACTCTAATTACAATGTCCCAAAGCTCTATCTCCTGCTCAGAATCAGGTCCTGAGGTTGTGGATGTTCTTGCCCGAGGATGTTGCCAGTAGATTTAGCAGGGACGGCATCTGCTGCCACCAAAGCAGTTGGTGATGCAGGAGATGTCAAAGCCCCCAGAGCTGATGGGCACTCCCTGAGAGCTGAGGATGTTGCCAACAGCAGCAGAGGTGGAGGATCCCACGGCGGTGTTCTGTGGGAAGGAGCTGAGGATGGGGCCGGGCAGGGTCACCAGCACAGGGGAGGGCTCGATGACGACATGGGAGCTCTGGCACTGCGTGACACAGCACTCATTGCAGCTGCTGGCCAGAGGGCAGGGGCCACAGGGCTGGCAGCAAGGGTCGCAGGGCTTGCAGCAGGACATGGCTGGGGCTCACAGGTGCACCTGGCAAAAAGGGCAGGGAGAAGCACAAAGTGAGGACACATGAGAAGCAGCACTGCACCCAAACACCCTGCAGCCAAGGCACCTCCTGGCCCAGCTCAAAGCCCAGGAGTGTTCTCAGCCCAGTCCCAGCCTCTCTCTGTATGCACAAGACCTTCTCTCCCCTGCCCTCTCCCAGCACAAGCAGCTCCCAGCCCTGAGCTCCAACAGCCCCTCAATTCTGAGACCTTCAGCCAGGCAAGAGCTGCTCTTGAAGCAGCAGCAGGAGGAGGAGGAGAAGGGGCTTTGCACTCACCTGATTCCTGAGGAGGAGGAGGTGAGAGAAGTGGATGAGAGAGCAGAAACTTGGGCTGCCTTTTATAGCAGTCCTGCCTTGCCTCAGGCCCAGAGGCTCCTTAGTGGAAGCCATAATTTTCTGACCAGCTCGTGTCAAATGTGCACCATGCCAGTTAATGATAGGGGCAGTGTCCTGGTTTCCTGTAGTGCTGCCTTTTCATTTCCTGGCTAATTCTCTGGGCTTTCCTACATGAAGGGTCATTTCTGTAAGCGCTGGGATGAGAGATTCAAGGATTTCCTGGGCAAAACCAATGCTGAGTGCATTTAGAATGCTCAGACCATCAGCTGGCAGCATTCTCTGTGGACAAATGTGTTCACCTGTGTCATTCCTGTGGGTTTGGTTTTGTCCAAGATGCCATGAAATGGGCGTCAGTCTCGTGCTTCTTGCCCCAATGCCCAAGGACCTACTATGTGAGTGGTCATGACACATAATTTTCTGTTACTTTTTCCTTCTCTCCGTGATGGTCACTCAGTATTGCACATAGCACTGCATCTGGTGGGAGGGTTGGACCCTGTTGCTTCTTTAACAGTGCTCATAGAAAAAATGATGTTGGGGTAATTTGGCTTGTCGTCTTTCTGTGCACTGTCTGTGGCTCCCCTGGAAATACCAAGAGGTTTTTGGGGCCTGATCCTTGTCCAGGACGCCTGAGTGATTTTCTGGCACACTTGTCCCCAGTATCTCGTCAGCAGAGTTCCCAGAACTGCACATCTTTGCTGTCTGTTCCTGACTCTTTGCTGACTTTCTGGGACCACACAGATCTCTGCATTATTCCATGCAGGCGTGTTTGTGTACAAGTGCATCATTCTGTGCTTGGGTGACACTCCTGAGGCCATGTGCAGGTCAGAGCAGCAGGACTGTTCCCTGGAGTGTTCGTGATGTCAGAGAGAGCGATGTTTCCTTTGACATCAGGAATGGCATTTTGTATGGAATCTTCAGCTGAGTGGTCATGGCTTCAAGCTGGCCGAGAACTAGCACTGAAATCAGCTTCTGCCTCCTGCACTCTCCATTTCTGTTACATGGAGAGGGAGAAA